AAGACCCAAACAGGATGGTCTTGAGACCATCCTGGTCAACATGGTGAAACCCCGTCTCTACTAAAAATACAAAAAATTAGCTGGGCATGGTGGCACGTGCCTGTAATCCCAGCGACTCAGGAGGCTGGGGCAGGAGAATTGCCTGAACCCGGGAGGCGGAGGTTGCGGTGAGCCAAGATTGCGCCATTGCACTGCAGCCTGGGTAACAAGAGCGAAACTCCGTCTCAAAANAAAAAAAAAAAAAAAAAAAAAAAAAGACCCAAACAGAAATTCTAGAGCTGAAGTAAACATGATTGAATTGAAAAATTCCATAGAGATTTCAGTAGCAGATTCAATTAAGCAGAAGAAAGAATCAGCAATCTCAAAGATAAAGCATTTGTAATTATTCAATCAGAAGAGCAAGAAGAAGTTTGAAGAAATTCTAGAGACTTATGGGCTGCCAGCAAGCAAACCAATATATGCATTATAGGTGTTCCAAAAGGAGTGGAGAATGAAAAAGGGGAAGAAAGCCTATTTAAAGAAATAATGATGGAAAACTTCCCAAATTTAGAGAGGGAAATAAACATCCAGATCCATGAAACACAAAGAAGACTAAATAGATTAAACCTAAAGAGATATTTAAGATTAAGCCTAAAGAGATATTTACCAAGACACATTGTAATCAAATTCTCAAAAGTCAAAGACAATGAGAAATTTGAAAGCAGCAAAGAAATCAATTTATCACATATAAGGGAACTCCCCCATGAGACTATTAGCATATTTCTCAGCAGAAACCTTGCAGGCCAGGAGAGAGTGGGATATATTCAAAGTGCTGGAAGAAAATTGCCAAACAAGAATATTATACCTGGCAAAGGTGTCCTCCAGAAAGTAAGGAGTGATATTGACTTTCCCAAAAAGACAAAAGCTTAGGGAGTTTATCAGCACTAAATCCACCTTACTAGAAATGCTGAATGTTCTTCAAGTTGAAATGAAAGCTCACTAATAGTATGAAAAAATATTAAAGGATAAAACTTACTGTAAAGGTAAGAATATAGTCTAATTCAGAATGTTCTAATACTGTGATGGTGGGACATAAGTCACCTTTAATCCCAGCATAAAAGTAGAAAGACAAAAGTATTACAAATAATTATAGCTATAATAATTTGGTAATGGATACCCAATATATAATGTAAATTGTGACATCAATAACATAAAATCTGTGAGGAGAAGAGAAAGTATATAGTTTTTGTTTACAGTTCAAGTTAAGTTGTTATCAACTTAAATAAACTGTTATAACTAAAAGATATTTTATGTATACCTCATCATAACTACAAATAAAAAAATTGTAAGGCCGGGCGCGGTAGCTCATGCCTGTAATCCCAGCACTTTGGGAGGCCGAGGCGGGTGGATCATGAGGTCAACAGATCGAGACCATCCTGGTCAACATGGTGAAACCCCGTCTCTACTAAAAATACAAAAATTCAGCTGGGCATGGTGGCGTGTGCCTGTAATCCCAGCTACTCAGAAGGCT